ACAGTCTACCTGATTTGGTAGTAACTGGTGCTGTATTCCACTAAGCGGACCCTGACACGCCCCAGTTTGCACTCTGTTCGAACGCAAAAAGTACGAGGGAGAAGGGGACGAGTCAAAGAAGCACTAACTATGGGAAGGTCAGCCTAGATGTGTAAGGGAAAGAACAATGGCGCGAACAATGAAAACCTAAACCCTGGCATATCTCTTCTTGCAGACCCCACACGAACTCGAAGCCCGCATGCTTTGCCGCTCCTGTCGCTGCGCTAACGAAACCCTACTCACAGTTTGTGACCGGGAAGGCGTAGCTATCAGTCTTCCAAATCGACTGAAGCCGAGTCAAAAGAACATTTTCCCTCCTTCCCTCTCTCGGACTTTTTTCTCTTTCTCCCGGGAGAGTTGAAATGTCTACGAATTTCTACGTTGCAGAGGTTTCAACAGTGTTTGTTTCAGTGCTTTTGTAATGAACATCAACTTTGTTGCGACGGCATCGTTTCAAAAGTGCTGCCATATGGCGGCGGAATCGATGACTCTGCAAGCTGTAAATCACCGGATTGACGGCAGAGTTAAGAGAAACCATCAGCACCGATGCCACGTGTATCTCCCCGAACAACTGCTTCGCCGAGAAGGCCACGTAGATGTAAGCAAAACAGTTTGGGAACCAACAAATACAATATATCAAACTCACTGTGATCACCATCTTGGTGGAGTAACGTCGATTCTTGAGTATTGCTTGTTGAGACACAGATGTGGTTGCGGCTGTGTTTTTAAACCACAGTTGATAAATCAGGAGAGCGTAGAGCACCCCCATGATCAGTGCAGGGTAGACAAAGAAAATTTGGCCGTTTATGACGCTGTGGTATTTTATAAAGTTTGGCGTTGGCCAAAATGGGACGCAGCTTTCAGAGTTCTCGTCGTATTTGAGATACATAAAGGCCGGTAGGTTAATCCCGATGGCAAAGATCCAGCAAAGTGGTATGACGTATCTCAGTTTCTTAGTGGTCAGCCTTTTGGTCTCGTTATAGGGGAAGTTGATGGCGAGATATCGTTCAACTGCGATGCAAACGAGAGTGAAGTCTGAAGCCAGTGCACCTGTCCAGGTGAGGGAATCTCCCGTAAGGATCTTACACAAGTAGTCGCCGAGAGTCCCTTTGGGGTGGTTCAGCGTCCGACTGAAGACAAACCTCGGAGACATAAAGACTGCAACCATCATATCACTGACTGCAAGATTTACCAGGAGGTAATTCATTGGAATGTGCATGTCTCGAAATACCACAACCCCTAGGCAGACTAGAATGTTACCGAACAGATTAATGAGCATTGAGAACGTGAAAGCGATGATGAAACCATCCTCTGAGAAGCTATCCTTGACCATTTTCTAAAGAAAGGAAAAACTTTCATAAAGGTCATCGTTGAATTGAAAATACACATCGCTGTTAAATTTTGTACGGTTTGAATCTTTTTTGGGCATCATGGTAACTGGTTAACTACTGGCCATCCTGGCTTCTGAGCTTGCACCCAGTGAGATATGTCGAGAAATGCATGCAATAACGAGATGGTAGATTTGACGAATTTCTGTTGACAATTTTAATTACTTTGACCAAATTTGTTGAATCTGTAGCAATTTTTTCAAAAGTATCGATTCTGAAGAAATTTCGCTAAGGTTGTTTATGAAATTATATTCAATTCGTCGTGGTGGAATCAGATTTATTACTTTGTCGCAAGCTCGTGACTAGATAATGTACGAGTAAATTATGCGATGGTGAATGTCCATGTGAAACTATCCTCCTTTGTAGTGTCACGGCAAGAGCTTAAAAAGATAATGCCCTCGGATCTACACAATTTGCTGAAATAAACGGCAAAATGCTCTCTGTCTTCGAACTTAAGGAAAGGATATTCCTTGAATTCCTATGATGCACTCATCTAACCTTCTAAGATATTTCTAGGAGGAAAACTTTTGTTTTTAAAATCACCCGCAATCCTGAAATGATTGTGAGATGCTTATCATTTTTTGTTGTCTTCAGTAGTTTCATGGCAAGAAATGAAAACTTAATGTGCTGGTGGCTGTAAGCCAGAAATCACAAAAGAAGAGAACTCAACTCTGCATCGAGTGCTAATGTAAAACTACTCAGATACTCCGAAAAAAAAAGACAATAAGTAGGACTGGGTAACAACGGGTCAAAATTGAGTTAAGATCACTCACTCACTAACTCACTCACTCACTCACTCACTCATCTTGAAATAAAATTTGGCTTCACCTTCTATAGGAGGCAGTAGCCTCAAAAATTAAAGAGATTTAGTAAATGGGGACGACAACAACGAGCAGAAGAAAAAAAACTGTATTTTTCAAAAGTGATGTCACAATTAGTTGTATCGAGTGTTTTCCAGCTAGGGAACTACTCTTAGATAACATCAGCTACGATAAGACTTTGTTTAGTGAAGCAAGAAAAAGCGGTTCTTCTCAGTAAAGACGCCGTCGGTCAGTTTTTGTAAAGGGTGGCGAGAAATTTACGAAATGTATAACTTTCGAACAGTCGACCGTTTGAAACGGCATTAGCTTACTTCATATATTTTTTTTTTCTTAAGATGCTCAGAGTGATACCAAATAGAATTTCAGTTGGGTAAACAAAAAGTGAACAATAAAATCTCTCATCTTACCGAAAGATTCGTTTTTCAGAAGTGGCTTTTTCTGAATTTGTTAGAGATCTTCCAGGGATACGCGCTTTGAAGTTCTTAATGTCTTGAATCTTCGAGTAAAATGAGATCCTCCGTTGACATTTCAAGCAGATATATGTTTAGCAGGTGCTCTGTGTACAATGTAAGTGCAAATATGCGTCATAAGTTTTTAATCAAGTTTGTGATAATCAAGAAAAAACTGCACGCAAGAAATTGTGTTTTGCTACTAGGTATAATATTGAGTTAGTTTCTTGTCAAGCAAATTAAAGCACCTGCACTCGTGCGTAAGACTGTTCCAAGAGTAATCAGTCAACCCTAGACATAGCTATCAGCTGATTAAACAAATTTAACCCTATCCTCTTTTAAAGGTAAGCCTATTTGCGCACAAAAACGCTGCAAGAAAAAGTTTGGTATCTTGCAGAACTCCCTAAAAAAAATTCTTTCATCAGGGGTTTTCATAAGAACCAAAAATAATTATATCTTCCTGCAGATTGAAATTTATCCTTTGATGGGGAATTGTAATTCAAATAAAATAAATGCAATTCTTTTCTCCTGATTGTGGTGACAGGTATCTGACATTTTCCATTTTCTTGTTGTTGGTGGTTTAATATATACCAGTCGTGTATACCAGCTGATTAAACAACTTGAGTCCTATCTTCCATGAAAGCAATGTTATTTGCTCATAAACAGGCTGAAAGAAAAAGCTTGAAACCTTGAAGAAACCTCAAAGCTTTTCTTTGAGTATCTTTTTATGCAGATTAGAAACTCATTCAGTCATATAGACTGTAAAACTACGTCCAAAATGTCACTGTTTTGTCCCTTTTGTAGTGAATCTGATGAATTTATTCAATTCCTTATCTCTTTCTTTGTTGCATGAATGAAATAAGAACTCAAAAACTTAAAATTTCTGGCAGTATAAATTGAACATAAAGCCAACTGGTCTCTTGGCTGTTTTGTCTCTCAAACCTTTAAGTAATATTACACAACATAGCTTTGTTTTGCTAAGGGGTAATTTGCCAATATTCTGTTTTCAGAAAACCTAACATTTAGTTTGCTTTTGAAAGCGTCATATTAGGAAAATATGACACAAAATTGCAAAATCTTAACTAAACCTTATTTAAGGCTAACTAGTGATTGATATACGAAGTTTTAAAAAATACCTGAAAGAAAGTCTTCTATAGTGCAAAGAGAATTATTGAGATTTTTTTGTATTTACATACGAAGAGTCGAAGAGGAAATGAAGAGATTTTTACTGAAGTTTTCTCGCAACTAGTACTGTCTCAGTAGGCTATGGAAGGAAGACCTCGAGGAGGCACTGTGGGTAAGGCATGAAGGTGAAGTTCTTCTTTCATCTCCTCCAACTTTGCAATCTTAGAAAGAACGTTTGGGGTAATTTAATTTGTGGCACCCCTGTCTCTTTCCTCTACTTTACAAATAAAAAAAGACTTGCGTGCAGTCCATTTCGGTAGTATTGAAAGGACTAGAGGTTGTTTAATGACGCTAGAAGGTAGTGTTGCAGAATATTTGTCTCACATGCAAAACAGAAAATCTGCTGCATCATATTTATGAGTACCCTGTTCCAAAATAGTGCATTTCACTGGGACTTCAGCATCTAGGTCGGATTGGGGTTAAGCTAATTCCCTTTAATTGCACCGCACGTCGTACTTACCACGAATAATTTTCATTTGAAAAGTGTGCTCGCAATAAGGAAGTGGTGGTATGCTGTAAATAATACTGTGGGAATTTATATCGGAAATCTATAACAAGTCCTCTCTAAAGGAAACCACCTTGATTGTTATTTTTTATTCCAAGTCTCAAATTTTAGTTTCACAAAGGAATTTTTTACATTGTTTGTTTCAATGCCATTTTGGGTGACACACAAAAAAGACTTTGAATTCAGAAAACAGGCGGCCCGTACATATTTAAGTGTTAATGCTTTCTTGAATAACTGAGGCATCCTCTCATACTAATTCCAATTTGTCCAAGGAAATAGCTAAATGTCAGAAAAACGAAAGTCCGAGAGTAAGAATCGTTTGTGTTCATCATCTGTCTTTTCCACGACTAATGTAATGTTTTGATACGACCCAT